GGGGAAAGGGAAGAGTGGGGGTTACGATGTAATTACGAGCGAGGAAAGGAGGAGGAGGAAAAAGTGAAAGCTCCGACGTAGTGACGAACGGGTACGAGGGATGGGAGAGAGGAAAACTGCCCACTCCTTCCCCTCCCCCGCCCCCAGGAGACCGTCCTGGATCCGCCTGTGGCTCCCTCTATCTACAAGGTTGGAAATTTTCCAAGTTGGTGATCTTGCTGCTGATCATGACAAAGAAACAGCGAAAAATCATCTTACGAGCGGGTAAATGGTAATGTAACAATAAACTGCGGTCGTTAGAAGGTCGAATCATAATCTTAAAACAATCGGACGGTCCAAAGAAAACAAAATGTGGAACGACCGGGGACTGAAGGTTTCAAACAAAGGGTGAGATAAGTTTGCTAAAATAATTTGCGGTCACTGTGTTAGCCTAAACTGTAGTCTTTAAAACAAATGGACGGTCTAGGACAAGTAAAATGTGGAAAGGCCATGGAAACGGCAAAATATTAATTTTGCTTTTTGGACCGATGCCAAGTGAAATTATGAAACAACGAAGGGACGATCCGAAGCGCTAACTAAATGTTTGCAGATATACTGAATTCAGTTACTTAATTACAAGCAAGATGTTACATAGAGTTTTGTTGAAATGCACCAAGAAAAAGTAGAAAAAAGAGCTGAAGGGACGAACAGACCAAGAAAAAAAGATGAAGACTTTTTTCCTCCTATAATTCCGGAAAAAAAAAAAAAACTCGTTCTTATTACCTCCTAGAAATTAAATCCCAGCACTAAGGATTAAAAAACTAATGTAGTAAATAAACCTCTCCGTGATCAATTTCGTCGTTATTTTTCGGTGCTTGAGTACCACTGGTAGAAGGCTGCAATGCTTCCTCCTCTGGCTGATTGATAAAGGAAGTCTGAAAAAAAAACTATATAAATGAGCAAAAGAAAAAAAAAATACAGATATAGGAGTTTCCAAAAAACCAGAACAATACGCAATATAAGATGAAAGACAGGTAAACCAACTAACCTCTTGATGGTCTGTAGGATTTGCTGTATTAATGCTTGGCACAAAATCACTACT